CAATTACAAATTACTTTCAAATTTTTGTTTAAAGATGGGACCGATTTCGGAAATTATATCAGATGTTTGTACTGAGCGGCCTAATTTTTCAAATGCTGCACGCGAACACTCTCTGACGATAGTACATCCAGCAAAGCTGGCCAGCATTGGAATGTCGGAGGGTAAGATCGTATTGTCATGTCTTTTTTTTGGTATTAATGTAAAATTATATAAATATAACATTTTCTAAAGTTGTAATTCAGAGAATAGATAGTTTACATACTTCCAGAGCTTCTTTTGATATGCAATGCCCCATGCCAAGAACGTGGCAATAAGACCGGTAAGAACATCTCCTTGACCTCCACAGCGTTTGAAACCTCCTTTATTATCAACTATGAATACTATATGTCCATTAAATTCTTATGAGCTTAATTAATATTGAAGTAGTGTAATTGAAAATGAAAAATTTCTCACCAGTATTTCCATTTGAAATCAAATCATTTTTACCCTTTTGTACAATAGTAATTCCACCAAATGCCTGACTTAGTTTTTGGGCCATTTCGTCTTTATGATTATCTTCGAAGCTAATATTCTATTTTAAGAGATAGATTATAAAAAAAAAAGGAAATAGCTTAAAATTATTTGAATACCATTTTTACCATTTTTTCACAAAGTCGCTGAAATTCGTTCACATTCGGTGTTAAAATCGCTTTGGAATAATTCTTAATAATATCGGGATCATTTTGAACAAGAAACAATCCATCCTAATTAAAAATAATCAGTAATCATAATCGCGTCATAATTGTTATATGAGTGCTAGAATCCTTACAGCATCAATAACAATGGGCAATTCTTTTTCTTTGGCCTTCTGTATGATTCCTTTAGCGCAATTCTGCATCATCGTGTCTCTTGATAACCCTGGGCCTAAGACTAATACGTGTATACGGGGTAAAAGTGTTGCGACGTTATTTACAACATCCTCAGGGTTCAAATCCGAGTCTTTCCTAAGATTAGTTACGGTAAAAATTCGTTACTCTCATCGAGGCTAATTACGCAGAGAAATCTTCACTGACTTGGATTTACGCATGTACGGGTATACCATTAAATCTATGCATCATTGAAGCTAAGTCACTAACTTTCGCAAATTACAAAATGTAGAAAAGCGAAATGATTACCTGGTGAATAGCTCTAAAAATAGATCGTTTATTAAAAAATAAGAAACGATCAATTATTAAAAACGAATTAGGATCGACAATCTACCTTTATCGCTGTAGCCGCCGTCGGTTCGCAAACAACATGAGCCATATCGGATCCCTTCAATAAAGTATTGTGATATATCAATTAGCATATCAGATCAATCATTAAAAATTTAATTATAAATTGCTTACAAGCTTTAACGCGGATATCGCGCTAAAATAAGGAGCACCGGTATATCTGTTTAAAACATTGCTTAATAATTTGAAAGCATTAAGTGTCTTCACAAAACAATGTCCACTTACTCCTCGGACCCTCCAACAACACAAACTCGACCTGAAAAGATAATGTGATAAGTACCAAAGAATATTTATATGGAATATTGTTTCATATCCAGTACCTGCTTGGCCTTTATGAAAATCAGGAGAGAGTGGAGGAATAAGTTGTAAAATAGTATCCAGAGAAGGCTTTGTCAAAGTCATTCTGGATACACGATTCATATAGCCTAATGTACAATGGAATCACCTAAATATGAAAATTTCGTTTGTGGATCCGATGGTACAGCCAGTTTGATAAATTATCATGATAACAGTTCCTGCAGGAAATATTCTCAATACTACAGATTAAAGCAATATTATTATAGAAAGGCTATGCATAAAAAATCTGACCAATAGGGCATTAGAAAATCTCCAGCTAACACCTTAGGCACGTGAATGACATTTACGAAATAATCACTTATATAGTGACGTGAAAATAGCTTATGAAAAATTCACTTACAACTTTTGCTTGTACGAAATGTCTAAGGCCAACGACAATGAGCCCACCGATTTCGTCCATCAAATTGCCATAGAATTATCTCGGGCGTTAAATCTTCTGAATCCAAACGATCTTCTGGCAAAAACAGTCATACAGGTTGCCAAGGATCACAAAAATGTTGGCACATTCATTAAAGGTATGTTTAAGATTTATCTATAATGGGTTGTACTTTAGTATAATAACAGAAATGTCATTGTTGGCCATTAGCTTGCCAGGGTTTTGGAAGATTCAAAGAAGAATTTCTAGCCGATTTGTACACAACGATCAAAAAACGGATAAAAGAAGAATCTATTGATTTGAATTCACAGAAGCCCGATCCCTCATCTATTCCGACAAATTCCACAGTTCTTGGAGAAGTTCTGACATCTTCTAATTCTTCTGTTGGTGGCTTGATTCGACCCGGAAAATTAACTACTTCCGAAGAGGTAAGTAATAATGTATGAATTATTTTTTCTGGGCAAACTTTCAGGTAAAGTTGATTTAATTATTTTAATTATACAGAATCGGCACGTTTTTAAAGCTCCGGCACCGAGGGTGTCAATTTTGGGGTTAGATAAGATTGCAGAAGAAAAGAAGCGTAAAAATAAGAAAGCTCAGGAAGAAGAGACGCGATATCCGACGAAATCTATAAATATTGGTTTATCATCAGATTGGGACGATGATGATTCTTCACAACAAGATTCAAATTTGGATGATAGCAAATTGAATGGTATAGTTATTTCTTTATACTTTTGCTTAGTTTTTCGGTGATTTCTTTTGTTCGGATTTCAATACAATTTATTTAAATTAGGTTGTGGCAAATCACTGACGCTTTCAATTGGAATCTTCAAATAATTATCATATCCAAGGGTCTTCATCAAATTCAAAATCGCATCATCGAAGGAAAATTGATTCAGACGAACATCGAGAAAGAGTAGAAAAAGACATGCGGGAAAAGGATCATCAAAAAGGTACGGTCCGTGATTACTATAAGAATTTCTTGGTTCAGGCTTATTAATTTCTTCTCATTTTGTAGTCGGGGGATCATATAAAAGATCAGGTGAAAGGGATGTCGGTGGTAGAGATGGACGGTATCGTTATGAATTTTCGGATTCAAATCGTCGTTCGCCTTCTGTCGTTCGAGACGATTCGAGAAAACGTTCTCCTTCGGTGTCATCCAGACGAGATGACCGAGACAATTCAAGTAGAAGATCGCCATCAGTTACCACAAGTAGAAGTAGCTCAAGTCGAAGGTCTTCGTCTCTGTCGTCGTGGAGGGATAGCTCGACCTCATTAAGTTCTTGGCGTGATTCTGATAAGGGTTCGACACGTATTAGTCGAAGTGAATGGGATTCTACACCAACAAGAATTTTACCAAAATTCTCTGGGGGAGGCCTAACATCGCGAAAAGGTATGGAGTACCGTTTGAAAATTAATTTTTGATGTTTCAAACTTTTAAATTTAAAATCCTTTGTCCTTTTAGATTATCAACCACCCACTCCGCGACTTGCATCATTCGACTACGATGAGATGGAATACGCTTATCATCAAGATGACAATGACATTACTGAAGATCCTGATAGACTCTTCTGGGAAGAACAGCAACGTCAGTTAGATCGGGAATGGTATAATATTGAAGAGTCATCTAGTGTAAGTCACGGTTTTTTGTGTACTACCTTATTTGAATCTTTGTTAGAATTTTTAATATAATCAATTACTTTAGGCTATGGATGATACGCACAACCCTTTCGCAGATTATTCGGATTATGTGCAGAAAAAAGAAGAAGAACTTGCTCAGAAACAGCTTGTATGTAGCTTCCTTGGTTGTTTTTTAAATATTTTTGGTAACTATGTTTTTATAGCTCTAGTTTTCCATGTTATTTAGAAAAAACTTTCAGCAAGACAGGAACAGTATAACAAAGACAATGAACTGTGGGAAACTAACCGTATGCTTACTTCTGGTGTTGTTCAAAGAAGAGAAATGGATTTAGATTTTGAAGATGATTCAGAGGTAATTTAAGATAAAG